TCTGGGAGTTGAAGTCCACACGGCTTAAAGTTGCCGAGGTTGAGAAACACTGATCTAGAAGAATAGCTAAAAGATCAAAGACATTATTTTAGTAATGTGCACAGCCTTATCAAGACAGGGGGTGAGAGATAACAAGATTGTCCATAGCAGTCCAACAATTTGGCTGAAATGCCAGCTGTGATTTACAAACCACAATAGCTGGCTTTATTTTTCTTATTTCTCTCATGCAGTCCTAAGATTCTTGGCGGTTTACAATAATTACCAGTAACACAAACATTTAAATAAAAGTTGCGGTAGGAAATAAAATATGCAAAGTTCTAAAAACATAAACATCGTAAAACAGTCAAAGTAGGTGGCCTGTCCTTCATGGTACGCTCTCCCAAGTTGTCAGTGGTTTCCAGAAGACCATGCCGTGTTGCAGTAAACCAGAACTGAACAGAGTAAAGTAGAGTTGCAGCACCTTTTTTGTGACCTAGAATTTAGTGGGTCAACATATTTTTTCTGTGAATTCCATCCTTATTTGTTAAATCCTTCCATTTTCCCCCTCCAAACTTGAATTGGTTAAAAGCAAATGAGCCCTGCCAGGTGATCAGGTAGTACTTCTGTGGTTTTTAAGAATCTGGAGGTTTGGAAAAGGGTTTTCTGCTTCACTTCTGACATGTAAATTTAGCTAGGGACTTACCTCCCATTGCTTCTGATCTAGCAGAGCTGTAGTGTAACACTCATGCTGCGTTCTCTCCTTTTGACTAATCTGGTTCAACCCTTGCTAGGCTGTTGTAATTTTATTTTTTCCTGTATCCTAACCATCAGGTTACTACCTGGGAGAGATTGAATCAGGTTCAAGAGGAGATTGCAAAACTCACCATTGAAAAAAAAAAAGTGAGCAGAGAAGTGTACAATTTTACGGTGAGTGCCCAAGATATCACTCGGGAAGAACCCCTGAAATTACTACAGAAAATATGCTAAAAAATTAATAAGCTTCTGTATCTAATCCGCAGTACCCAATTTTCTTTTTGTCTGGATTATGATTGCTGGGCACTTCTCATTTTAAAAGAAAGATGGTAGGAATTGGGTCAGTGATTCAAATAGTTTACCCCAAATTTTGGAATGTTAATTGGTTGTATTCTTCTTGTTATAGAGTAGACAAAAATAGCTTTAGATCCTTGGCTGCTTGACATTTAATTACTGGCAATCATTACATTAGTTTGTTTTGTGAATAACCCTCCGCTGTTTTTTCTTTGTAGCAAAGCCATGATGATAGTACTTTACAGACGGTAAGGAAGTTTCATTTCTTTATAGCTATCTTAATCATTTCAACCCATAGCCTTAAACACAGAATTAGCACTTGCTTGATTTGCCAACACGAGACCCTAAAACAGGAGGGCAAGAAGTGTTCAGCGTATCTTTTGCAGCTCCAGAACCCACCAGGTATAGGAGAGCCAAAAATGCTGTTCCTTTTTTGTATTTGTATGCCATCCAGCAGTGTTGAGAGTCAGGTGGCATATTGTTGTAGTTGTTATTTGGGAGAAGGAACAAAAGAAATGTCTCAAGCTTTGCAGATTCGTAAAGCACCTCTTTACGAGGTGCCTCACTCCAAAACAGATCTTAGTTTGGTCCACTCCTGAAACACACAATGCACAGATCCTGGAGATGCCCTCAAGCCAATGGAATTATGCCTTTGTGCCAGAAGAGGTGCCTGCTGGACCACACCAAAGGCTCCACCTTGTCTAGCCATAAGGACAATCATCTTTCAGCACCTGTTTTTTTAATATAATTATTATAATTCATTAAATGTATATGCCACCCGTCTCCCAATGATTCTGGGCGGTTACAGATAAAAGAACAGGAAAAGGAAAAGCATACGACAGTAGACAAAAATGGAGAATATTTTCTGCTTTCTTCCATGCACTCCTCAACATAATTTCCCCTTCTGTCTCTTCTGCCAGCTGCCTGTTTACAACGCCTTGGTGAAAGAGGGGAGGGAAATCCGCCTTCGCCTCAATGCGTTGCGCGAGCTGGAGATTGAGTTGGAAGAAAAATATTATCTGGATGCCCTTAAGCTGCCTAACAGGATTCACCCTGATGTGGTAAAGACTATGAAACAGAGAAGTAAAGTTTGGTATACCTAGGGCTCCAGTGGGTGAGGCTGCCCAAATTTCCTGAACCATTACTATAAAATCCTTGCAGAGCCCTCTGGCTTTAGATTGGCTTAGCTGAGGCCCAGCCCTCTCTTCCCATGTGAAAACTGTGGGGTTTTCTTCTTGATTTGGACAGAAATAACATTCAATTCTGTGCCTTCGCCTCTTCTCTTTCCTTCCCATAGCAATTTGGAGATGAGAATGAACCACGGGTGATGGAGATCATTGGAGAAAAACCAGGTGAGAGGACAACGGCCTGGGCTGCCATTGAGGTATAATTAAGAACCCACTGAAACGTTAAAAGAGATCTCGAGGTGGCTCCATTACAGCTGTTAATATATGTTCTCTTGTGTGCCTTATGGCTTTTTCACTTTTTAATAATGACTATTTTTTTGACATGTTTATCGTTTTATATCCTTGTTGTACGCTGCCCAGAGTAACTTTTTGTGAGATGGGTGGCCGTATAAATTTGATATATAAAATAAATATAATGCCCATTTACAGCCAGGACTGAAAAACAAAACTTGTGTGGTCAACACAACACTGTTATACTTTGAAGTATAATCCTTTTTGCTTCTTTGCTTTGTTTCGGAAACAGAATTTGATTTCAAGGTAAAAGGACACCTAGAAATTGGAGAAAAGCTGGATATTATAAGGCAAAGGTTAGTGTGAAAGATTGCTGTAATCAGAATGTAGGATTCAAACCCATCCTAGCCTTTCCCATCTCACCCCAGTGCATTCCGGCTATTCTGCTAAACGGAAACATGGGAATAGGATGGGTGGAGTTGAATTTCTTTTTAATCAGACTAAAACAAGGCAGTGACTCCCCCTGCGGGCAGAGAAATTACAAGCAGTGATAATTGCATGGTCTCTTTGAATTTCTAAAAACGTATATATTCCCTTTCAGTCATATTTGCTGTGAAATTGGTGTTTTGGGAATAGTGGTACATTTGTTTGCATGCCAAAGGATCCTGGTTCAATTTCTGCCCCCTTTAGGGAAGGTCAGTATAGAATAGTTGGTTTTGGCAGCGTTGGCTTGGAGATTAGTCCCACCATACCTGAAGGACTCCGAGTTGTGGAAACCTGGGATCGCTAATACTGAATAGATTAATTGATGACTATGGAGATTCCTGTTTTCACAGATCTGCAGTTTCAGGTGAAAGTCTGGGGAAATTGTACGGAGGAAGAATGATTTCAGATTCATCAAATGATTTGCTAAGTGGGGCAGGAAGAGTCAGACATGACTTAATGACTGAACAACAACAACACATCAATTTATTTTTATTTCTTGGGCCTTCAAGTCAGTCTTGACTGCTGTGGATTGCCTGGACTAGTCCCTGCAGTTTTCTTGGCAAAATTTTGGAAGTGATTTGTCCTTGCCTACTTCCTAGGGCTGAGAAATTGGGACTGGTCCAAGGTCACCCAGCTGGCTTTGCGCCTAAGGTGGGACTAGAACTCACCATCTCCTGGTTTCTAGCCTAGTGCCTTCACCACTACACCAAACTGGCTGTCTCATCAATAAGACATATTTATGTAGATAAATTTCTTCTCTTAAATCTCCATATTTGCTTTAGTATCCACCTTCACCTCTTTAACCTGTGGTCATTTCTTTCAAAGCAATATCTGGCATAAATTTCTTCAGTAGTTGGTCAGATGAGTGCTTTTAGACTCACTTCGCTCTGATAGCCTGTGGTGCTCTGTTTTTTGCAAATTTGCTCCAGGCCTAGCTGGAGGTCACACTCCAAAGACGGGTGTTAATAACCCAACCTAGCATGTTATCTTATCCACGGGAGTCTCCAAAACACCTGAAAATTTTAGAGGGGGATAGCACAGGGAAATATATTCTCTTTTTCTGCTCCTGCAATGGGAGATGAAGGAGCAGCTCTTGAACTTGCCTTGCGAGTGGTAATTTCTAGAGTTTTATCTAGGTGATTCTGGTGGACTCTGAGACTTGCTTCATGTGTTTAAAAGTGGCATGTTGGTTTAACCACAGCTGGCTGAGTTTAGACATCATAGTAAGCTATAGGCCAGTGTTTCTCAACCTTGGTGCTGGCTGGGGAGTTCTGGGAGTTGAAGTCCACACCTCTTAAACTTGCCAAGGTTGAGAAACACTGCTATAGACTGTAGTTTGCAGCCTTCCATGGCTGAGCTCATGCAACATGAGATGGCTGAACCATGTGACCTTAGCATCTGGGTGAACAGGACTCTGTGATTCATGCACATGCAACGTCCCTCTTGGTTTCTGAGCCGTTATAGTCAGAATTTGTAGTTCCCCATCAGCTGATTAGGAGCAGGGATACATATTTGATGAGACGCCTTTGTGGTTCTTGCTCTGCCACTGGGCATTTTCCAACACCAACTGCCTGATGCTGCTTTATCATCCATTCTGCAAAGCTGCTTGCTGTAGCTTTTTGGCAAACCGCAAAGGGCATGGAAGACAGGTGCTGTTGTGTGGTACAGCACGCACACATACACACCTGGCCTCACAACTACAGTGCCCATCAGGTTAAATGGAGCTGATGGGATAATGATCCATCCTTGCCATGATAATGCCAGGTTAGGAAAGGCTGTATTAAAGGATAATGTAGTTTCATGTTTTGTTCTGTTTGCTTGGCACATTTGATGGACTTGGCTCTTATTTATGGCTTAGGGTCGGGCTAACCCAGCTATTTAAGCTTTTTCACAGTGCTGAAAACAATCCACGGGGTAGCACGACGTGCTAACCCCACCAGCGTTTCCATCATAGACTCAATGTTCCATGTGGTTGTGAGTTCAGGATTTTGTAATGCAACAATTTCTCTCTAGCTGGGCAAAGGTCCTAAACGTCAAACTGTAACATTTTAGTAACGCATTGCCGGAATATCTGTATTGTATGCCTGTTTTTTAAGGTTACCTCCTTGAATATTTCTTGCAAAATTCCATAGCCTGCTGTGGAGAGCTTTATGAAAAAGCAAAGAAAACAGCGCTGGGGATTGTCACCTTTAAAGGAGATGGAAAATAAACAGAGAAAGTGCAGCACATGATGTCAGTTTTTGACATTGTAGGAGGAGAGTCGTGTTGGTCTATGGAGGCAGAACATCAGAAGTCTGGTAGCACCTTTTGTGACTAACACATTTTATTAAAAGGCAGAAGTTTTCGTGACTTGTAGCTCATAAGAACTTTAAATAAGATTTAATAAAATTGGTTGTCGGAAAAGGTGCTACCAGGCTCCCCCTGGTTTATGTCAGTATTTGGTTAGATCATTTACCAATCAATCTGCATAGCCCATGTTCACAGTACCAGGCATAAAAATCTCAACCAGCTGGTGCAGAACTTGGCCAGGTTTGGCAGCAGGTGTGTGACAATTCCCGATGCTCTTTGCTGTCCTAAAACCTGAAGAGACAAACAGATGGCTTGATCTAAATGTTAGCCCAAAGACAAGGGAGCCCTGCAAGTCAATTTGGCCGCACCCTTAGGAATCGCTTGAACGACTTTTTCTCCCTCCTCCTCTCCACAGGCGCTTATCACATATTTCCGGTTTCCGATCATACTACCTCCGCGGGGCTGGTGCTCTGCTTGAGCAAGCTTTGGTCCAGTTCACTTTCTCCAAGCTGATAAAAAAGGTATTGAATTCTCAAGCGTCTGTTCCTACAGATCAGTGTTTTTCAAACTTGGCTGCTTTAAGA